TCTAAACATAAAATAAACAAAACAATGTCAAAACACAAATTATAAACAAAATACATCTAAAGATATAAACCATATAATGGGCGAAAAATAAAGTAATGTAAAAAAAATCCAAAATGTAATTTAACAATATAAAAAAAACAATAATATCATGAATAATTAATATAACTAAAATGATAAAAAATTATTTTAGCACTGATACTAATAATAATAAAAACTATAATAAACATAATAATAAATAACTATCACGCATTAATCTTTTATTTGATATATAATAACTTATACTGTCGGAAAAATTAAGATACAAGCAGCGGTAACATGGGAATAAAGAAATAGAAAGTGCGGTAGTTAGCGTTTCATATAATTTTGCATTTCAGTTACGCATGGAAATTTACGAACAAACGACATGCGAATACACGCGAAGTAAATTTCCAGATGAATAAAATGACAAGGAGTTTTTAACCTAGGAAATTAATGATGGGGTTATTTAACTTATTCATACAAATGTGGGAGAAAATCGAATTTTGGAGAGTCACACAGAATATTGACCTCAAGCACTGCCTAGATATCGTCGGATAACAGGGCTTCACGTGATACCGATCGTTCAATGAGCATATGGCGTTTCAATAATGGGACTATATCACAGAATGACATGTACAATACTGTATATGTATTCTCTTGATAAATAAAAAAACAACTAAAAATGTACCATGGTAGAAACAATAATGATAGGTATAATTGATATCTTGTTTAAAATCATTGCTACATATATATACCTAAGTACTAACTCAAATGACTGAATCTGTAAAAGAAATTGTTCAGATGTTCCTAGTGTCATTGCGTGCAATGTGTGTTTGCCTATTTTAATCGGGCGGTGGCTATTTGCTCATTAACGCATACGCAATTTAACTTTAAAAACGTCCACTGACCTTCTGTGATCCCATTGTTCAGAAATGATTTTGATTGGTACTCGGATATCATCAGGCATGAATATAACAGTTGCATACCTTTATCTTATAAACCCCAATTTGGTATGACTATAGTATGATAGTATGTAGATTTCTGTTTACATTTCCCATATAATGTGGGTGTGAAATGCCCACCCGTGACCTATCACCACCCTACGCAGTATTCTCCACTGGTATTATTAAACAAAGACTCAATACCTTGTAGGTTTAACCGAGTAAATGTATTTAGCATTTATGTTATTCGCATTTCATTTTTTTGTAATACAAAAACCGCGATTATGCATACTATTACACCGAATCCCAGGATTTAGGTGATTTATTTTCAAACTCATACCTCACAATGAAGATCATTTCCCACTTTTCACATGCTATATGGTTTTCTAAATATGAATTTTCTGAAATATTTTTGTTTTTGTTTTTTCTATGTCTAAAATACATCTTATTTTGCTTCTATAATAGACTAACTAACTATTGTAAATTTTCTGTCTATTGTCCAACCAAACATAGTTTCATAATGAGAGGATATGTGTTTTTCATTAGCTTCAAATGTTAGTTTTACGGAAATATTTGTTTCTTCTCAAAATCTAAAATACATCTTCATTTGCTTTACTATATATTCAACATTACATTGAAAAATATACTCAAGCAAAAACAATAGTTGTAGACTTGCTGTTCATTGTTATTATAAAAATACAGTATACTGGGAAGCTGATTGTCAACGTTTTCCCACGTGTGTTTTGTTTTCTTGTAATTCGAGCGAAAGTATTGTAACTTCCGAATTTATTAATAAATTAGCATTTGTTTTTTTTTTCGTATCATTTCTTTAGTTTGAGCGCGTTCACGCATGGCTATGAGAGAGCATGTTTAGGTGTGATATATATGAGAGGCATTTGTGACTGAAATGAACAATTTGTATTGTTCATGGTTGAAAAGCTCAATGGAAGTCATTAATTCTATTGCGGTACGGTTAGCTTTGGAATTACTTGAAATTTAGCATCCGATCAAGATGAAATAAACCTGGCGCGATGTCTATTCAGTGTAAATAATAAAGTTTCAGAAATCGACCAAAACCTCGAGTTCTCAGTCTACCCAGTAAACACAGCGTGAATGGGTTAAATTTCAATTCTTACCACCTCAAATGTAAATGCCGAATCTGTTTATTATTCTTCTGTTTGCCATTGGGAATACAAATGACATGTGCTGTTCATTTCCTGTGTCACCAAAGTAAATGAAAGAATATCTTGGGAATAAAGATAAATGAACTATCCGAAACGACTCGCCTATCACTTCTATTTTCGATAACTTCAGGTTGTTCTCATTTGTGAACAATGGCCGCTATGAACTCATACAGTCCTCTCTCACGTGATATATTTCTGGTATGATATACGTTGTTATAGTTACATAGTTTTGGGGAGTGTCACATAAGATTTTCACGACTATGCCTTAATACGAAGGGTACGTGTTATATAAATAATGGTAGGTTTTAAGCGAACAAATTGAGTGTTTAATTTGAATCAGAGACATGTAGCACTCAAGACATAAGTGCAATAGGAATATCTTCATTTGTATTCTTAAAATTAACTCTTGCCTTTTTTTTACAGAAATCCTGTATCCACCCCGGAAGGCCATGATTGTTTTCGACGAAGCCATGTCCTCTCTGAAAGGAAATTATAGGTTTGTGTGTAACCTAATACATTAGCGTGGTGTGCATGTGGCCAAACTTTAGAGATTTAGCCAGGCACTAGAAAACCACCAACAATTCCATCAGATAAAAGATTGTATAAAACATGTGAGTGAAACAGAATTGGGAATTTGACAAAAATTGAAAAAAAAGTTCTGTCGAAATATCTGAATAACACTATTGACAAATACGGTAATTCATAAACGGTTGTATAGTATAATGTTAGTATAGACCTTAAAATAGAACGAATAGCCAGTTCTAAAGAAATCTTATATCGAAATCTGGTATCATGATGAAGCAGTTCGCATATGCACAGAAAGACGTACTGTGTATTGCACAGCTGATTTATTATGAGTGACGTCATATGGCGTACTTTAGTTTTGTTATTGGTTTATAGCGGTAATAACTTACGTTGCACATCGAATGTTGCTAAGTCTCTTAAATTATAAAATTTATGATGTAACTAACCACCAAAACATCGTACTTTATTATATGTAAAATTAGCTGACAGGACTGAACGTAAATTCTGTCCTTGTATTCATGTTTTGTTGTTTTATTACACTGAATCCACTTATGATCCAATTATTGCCAGACAACGCAGATCGATAGCACGTGACCTTACAGCCTACGCTACTCAAAACTAGGGTAATGTAGTTATGACACACTAATAGTATTAGTATCCATGGCCGCAATGATCGGCCATAACATGCTACGTCTCTGGAAGTCTTTCAGCAGATCGCAATGACTTGAAAAGGCCTGTAACAGTATAAAAACATGTTTTTGGTGGCGTTAACAAGCATCGCAGATCAGATATTTACCAATGAATATATAGATAATTCACGGTAACAGTTTTATTGTAGACACCACCGTACTACTAATCAATTCAGACATATGGTGGGTTATATACAGACGGTGGTGGGTTATATACAGACGGTGGTGGGTTATATACAGACGGTGGTGGGTTATATACAGACGGTGGTGGGTTATATACAGACGGTGGTGGGTTATATACAGACAGATGGTGGGTTATATACATACAAATGAAGCTATGTGTAGAAAATGTTGAAGAATGATATTTGGCAAACAATATTAATATCACAGTTAATATAATAACGCTCCTCGTGCTTTAGGTGTTACTTTTTCGAGATTTTTTTCATGTAGCGCTTGGTTGGCAACACCTTGATAAGATTACCCCCATACGTATTTAATTAATCAATGATGTGGTGTGTACCTCGTATTAATGACGAGTTCATCGTCTCCAAGTATAGTCCCCGACAACGTGACGGCCTGTTTAGTCGTTTGCACGCGCAACATCATTACTCGTTCCAAGAATATAGTCAATTTATTAACTCTTCACATGTTATGCTATGAACGAGTTACTACGTTATTCCATTATAAATGTTGAGTGTTTTTATTATCATAATAAGAACTTGTTAGTGACCAATCATTGTTATCAAATTTGCTAGTTGTACCCTCGACTGTAAACAAGCATGTCATTCTAAAAATGTGATGGTTGTATATAATTACTCCAATGAAAAAACAGGTAGAGACAGTACACAATCTATAATTGGTCAATTTTCCAAGGACATTTATAACACGTGTTCTGATTGGGCACTGTTTTTAATTTGCATATTTGAGATGAAATTTGCTCGGACGGTCCTGAATTTGTTTGGGAAATGCACGTATTTCAAGTTGTCGTCTGGCCTATCACGGAAATATCGTACATACGTGATGACAAGTGTTCTTCGGCAACTGAAATAACCTTTCAACGGACAGAAATACAATCAATTTGAGGAGCAACACAGGCATTCTCTTAACGTTTTTAATAACTAAGTTTATTTATTTTTATTAGTGTTTTATTTAAATATTTACAAAATAGAGATATTTACTCACTTATCAAGCAAAGGTTAGTTCGAGCATAGACCCGTTCCGCGGTCTATGGTTCGAGGTCTTTGAAAAGTAAATTTAAAATGCCATTTTTTTTGTCTTATTGCCCGAGGCTAACGCCTGGTTATATGCCACGCATCCAGTCTACAAACCAATGTTCTTTTTTGTAGGAACCATATAACTGAAAGCGGAATTAGTTATCGTGTTTTAAAGAGAACATTGTTTTCCTTCGTACGAGTAGAAAATACCTGTATGTGTCTAGACTCATGAAAACATGTTTTTTTTAATTTAAAAAAGATACAAAGATTCACAGAAAGTGTATCTCTCAATTGTTTTCATCATCCTCGTGTACAGTGAAAAAAAATAGATGTATTTACATATTTAATTTATGTGACAATTGTCAAATTTTGACTGCACGTTTGGCGGGAATCGCGGTGCACTCTGGGCATTTAAATATTCTGCGCATGCTCAGTTGACAGAGCGTCACTGTGGAAGTTGTAGGTGAGTGACAAAATAGGGATTTATAGAAAATTGTTATTCCTGTCGCTTTCTGCACTATTATATTCAAATCGTATCTTCACGTAGCTCCGGCATGTTGATTCTTCTGGAGCAACACGTATCCATGGCGGTTGCACTCGTCAAGTGACACATGCAGTCTTGCGATCGCCGCTGATCGATCAGGGCCGGTGTCTATATGCACACCCCACACATGCGTACACCAGATAACGTTTTAAATTTTTAGATATGTCAGTGAATGTTCCCTAGTGGTTGCCTTTGCCCTAATTAAACAGTTTTAGTAAATAACAAATGCTTAAATGACAGTATCACCTCGCAATTCATGTCCGTATTGCCAACTTAATGCATATTATGGTTGCCCAGTAAATCAGTACGAACGCATCGATGCAGACTTGTTCTTTCGTTTTTATCTATTGTGCATATCCATGTACATATATGGTAAATTTTTTCAGTAGTTTTAAAAGTTGTAATATTTAATTTGTGGTGTGCGGCAATGATTTTCAGAATTTCCGGACTGATTCGTGCGCAGTCACCAATGGTAAAACAGTATCTGATGTTACATGGCCTCTGGTTAGTCATTGTTTGCAGATCTTATGAAACACTGTTTCTGATTGGCCCGCCGTTAAAATTTGCATATTGAGAGCATAGCCATTTTTTGAGCGATTTTGATTTTTTTCAACCTATACTATAGATGAATCATTAAAATTTGTATATTATTCATTTGTTTTGTGTCAGCATTTTTATTCTTACCTATGACCTTGTGAAATATGTGTCAATTGTTTTGTTTTTCACTACCTATTTCAAATGTGGATAAACCTAATGTTTTTGTGTTCTTAGAATTATTGTGACTTGTCATGTTTCTACTGAAGTGTAAAACTAAGGATACCAATTGGTTTTGGTTGTTCCCCAGAATAATTGTTCAAATTCTTCAACTTCAGATTTGTTTGAAGTGTACAAGATGCAGTTCCGTTGCCTCAACACTTGAATTGTCAGTGAATTTTGAGTTGTATCTGATTTATATATCTTTTTTTTTTATACCATCAATATTTCTTGCCTCCCCCTTTAATGGCCTGCATATGGTATCTTTGGAAAATTTGGATGCACAATTAATTGTATTATATTTGATGACTGATTTTGCATAAATTCAACAATTGCTTGATTGAACAATAGACTCACTTGTTTATACTTGCATTCATGCATTTACACAATGACTGGTTGGTATGAACCAATTGTTTGCAAGAACCCAACAACTGGAGGTGGAATAATTGCATTATAAAATTATAATAACAATGGTTATTGCATTGTTAAATTTTAATAGCCATGAGTTTGGTCAAATTCACAAACATCATTGATTTAGATATTATCACTAAATGTAGGCAATCTGTTGTTGTGGCATGTGTTTTTGGATATTACGTCTCCACTCAAAGCAGAGAGAGTGGTGGTTGGTTACAATTGGTTTTAATTCTATTTTGTGCCAGGAAAATGAAATTAAATGATGGATATTTTGACATATAGGCAGTTTGATATGGGGAAAGTAACTTTAATACTGAAAAAAATAAGAGAAATTAATATAATTAGTAATTAGTACTGCTTCCTGCTCAAATTTATTTTCCCAATTTTTTTGTTTACATAACTAAAAACTGTAGGACAATCATTCTGATGTATTATAATAGCAACAACACCCTCTCTGAAGTCTGGTATACCTGGAGATATTGCACAATTAATGATAGATATGCGTGATTGAATGATATTGTGGATTGTATCATCCTAAACACCATCAGGAAAATGAAAAGACTGACCTATGTTCATATCAATATAGTTGGTTATCAGTGCATAGGGAAAAGTTTGAGTAAACGTAGGAGTTAAATATATATAGCATACAATCTGAATGTAACTTGTGCAGTGACTTGTATGAAAATATACATGCATTTAATTTTCACCAAAACCCTTGATAAATATTTGTTTCCAGTATGTGTTCTTATTTGTTTATTATTGTAAACCATTTTAATTACGTGAGTGACAAATTTTTTGTGAATTTCGTTTTTTTATATTTTCTTCATGAATGCTATAAAATCCCCAAATGCAGAATTCTTAGCAGTGAAAATTAATTTGTGGTGTGCGGCAATGATTTTCAGAGTTTCCACACTGATTTGTGTACAGTCACCAATGGTAAAACAGTCTCTGATGTTACATGACCTCTGGTTAGTCAGTGTTTGCAGATCTTATGAAACACTGTTTCTGATTGGTTCGCCGTTAAAATTTGCATATTGAGATCATAGCCATTTTTTGAGCGGTTTTGATATGGTGGTTATTACAGTGTTTGAGAAACAATACAGTTATAAAAATGCAATAAATTTTTTTTCTCACATATTTATGTATAATGACTATATTTAATTTGTAAAAGACTATATACCCCCGGTATGTACATAACTATCATAATGGATTTTTTTGATATTTACTGAAGCCTTAGAATTACTGATATTGACTATAATGATTTGAGTCTCTTCATCTTTGTATTTAAATCAGCTAACCTTTCAGAACTTTTGAATAAGTTCCTTTATAGTAAGGAGGAAGAATAATGACGTTCTTTTTTTTAAAGACACTAGTTTTTCAAACAGTTGTACATATTATGTATGTATATATGTATGTATGTATGTATGTATGACAGCAAATGTATCCTACCTAATTTTACAACCGATTGAATATTTGATTTTTTTGAATCAGAATACGAGATTTGTATCACATGCATGCCCAACACAATGACAACAGCCCTTTAGTTAATCCAAGCATTGTTCCAGTGCAACATTTCTATGCATTTGTTTATAATTTATTAGTTATCCATTTTGGATAAAACTTATAAAAATTGTGTGCAGTGACCAATCAGTAGCCTATTAGTAGACTAAAGTAAATGAATTATTAATAAAGACATATAAATTGAGTGTTCAGTATTTTAAGTTTTTTTTTTTGAACTGAGTGCAAAAATCAATAATAGGAAAAAGTCAGTGAAAATTCACCTCATTGACAACATTAAGATGAGAGTTGCTGACAATGTCACCGTTCGCTGATCATATCAAAGGATACACCATCTTGCTGATTTGTGGATCAAACCTTTATGCTATAACATTTTTTTAATCTGTTGTTAAGAAAATGTGATTTATCTAATGCTTCTTTTGAACTGTTTTTTAATTCATATGGTTTCACAAATATTCGCTCTTCAGTAATTGATCGCTCACAAATTTCCTGCAATTTGCATTCATTTCTTTAAAGCTTTCGAATTGTGTTTGATTAGATTCATCCCTTTTTACACATTTTATATATCCTTAATTTTCAGCCAAATGGACCTACCAAATGGAATTTCCCATTAGCTACAATTCTTGATAAAAATTATTGAAAAAATTAAAAACAAATCTTATGTATTTATTTGGTGACAGGTGTCAGAAATTGAATTGATGTGAAATAGGTCTCATGGGATGGTAGAGAAATCTGCCATTTTGGGGTTCACAGTAAAAGCTATTTTATGCTTTTGAAGATTTCCATTGATTGCTCCATCATGAGTGTCGTCTTCTAATTTGTGCATTGTGAGAAATCAAAGACAGTGCGAGTTCTTAACTGAGGGAATGCAAGAAAATGATTGTAAAATGATGTGAATCTTTCAAAATGTGTGAAATTTCACAACTTTCAGTCAGATAGGTCTCTGCAGCAGGACTGGTTCAATAATTAATGGAAAAAAAACAGTCAAAAAAAATGTTCAATAAATTTGTAAAAATTTAAACTACATACAAGAAATATTACCATCATGCCTAACGCGATACTGTAAAATCATTTATTTTCACTGACATTTAATATCACTATTTTGATGTTTTGATAATATTCACTATGTTGTAATTTTACAAATTTGTCAAGGAAACAAGTTTTATTTTTATTTTACTTATTCACATAGATTCAATTTAGCGGACTTTACTTATCAGGAAAAATAGTGAAATTAAAATCCAGTGAATAAGTAAAGCATTTACAGTTTCTCACCAGATGTATTATTTAACTCATTGCCTGTTGAAAAAAAACATCAGCAGCAATGTGTTTACAGTAAACATTAGGTTCACACTAAAAATTCAAAAGTTTCTAGCCAAATGTGTTTATTTTAATTTTTTGAATAGTAATAAAATTTCATTTTTTTTCAAAAATTTCAACAAAAATTTGAAAAAAAGCTGTAATGCATGTTTGTAAACTGATGTTTGCAATGATCAAAAATAATGATGGCTAAGAAAATATAATTTTATTTTAATATAAATTTTAATTTAATATAAAATTTTAATTTCATGTGAATTATATATATATATATATATCTTATATTTTTATTGACTTTTTAGAAATATTAATTTTGTCAAAAAAAAAATTGCTAGGTAATAAATTGCAGTTTGCATCATGTCTGACAACCTAAGTTGCCTGAATCCACTGTTTTTATTTCTAATCACAAACTTTGAGTATTATATCAAAAGTTTCCCCCGAAAATATCTGTCAGTAAGTAGTTGCAATATCTGTGTAGACACGCAAGGACATTGTATATTTAAATTTATGTGTTTAGAAGGAAGCCATTTTGATATGCAAATTAGGGGCATGTGGAGGGAAGCCATTTTGTAAATCACACATGGCTGTAGACTGAAAAAGACTGTCCAGGGGAAGTTCAAGTCACAGGCACGTAATATTACTTAAATTATGACTGAGGTAATTTTGTATGTCTTGGTATATATACTATATATGACCTTTTCAAATATAAACTGAACAAAATAGTAAATCCTTGAAATCTAGGTCACCAGTGAATTTTGATACTTAGATGCTAATTAGTGTAGTATTTGGTTGTATGTGACATTGTGTGGCAGTGGTATGCAGTTATAGATAAAGTAATTCAAATATTTTTTGAATATTTGCCCCAAAAAACTGGAGAAAATCTACAAGTATTGAAATTGAAACTTGGATAAATTATTCAAATTAGCTAGCTCACCACAATGCCTATAATATGTTAGTTATCCTGTGTCTTGTGATTGGAAGGGTTTGGAGTTGTCATATGTTGTCTTGTGTCAATTGAATTATTTCCCTCAAATTCATTTTAAAATATTATATTACAATTGTACCTCAAGGAAAGTGAAGGTACTTGTGTTTCTTGCCTAAAGTGGACATGCAAGAATATTTTTCTGCTTTCTAGACGATGTATTTTAATATTTAAATAAAATGCCATATGTACGATCATCATGTTTGTACATAGTGGATATTTGTGGTACCGGTATATGCAAATTTCAGATGTGAGTAGCCATTTTAGATATGCAAATTAGGCAAATGAAAATACAGTTTTCTGCAATTTGCACATAATCATCTAAAACTTTTGTATGATGTTCTGATGTGCTAGGTTTCACAAATAACATTCATTCGATTATGCAATCTTTTTGTTAATATTAAACCAAATGGACTATTTTCTATTGGACAAAATTTTGATATACTGAAAACATAGAAACATGTGTATATACAAGGAAATGATTCCAGTGTGTTTGCCTAAAGCTGGCATGTAAGAATGTTTTTTTTGCTTTGTAGTATATATGCTAATTACAGATACTGAGAAGCCACATTAGATATGCAAATTAGACAAATAAAAATCATCTTTTTACTGAATTTTGTTTTTTATGAATAGAATAAATAGAATGTGCAATTGATGTTAAAAATGATAAACATGTTTGTGTTTCGCAGTATAGTTCCTGTGTCTTTCTAGCATTTTGATACCATTTCTTGTGCTTTTAATTTTTGATTATGTGAATTATGCAAGCTAGTTAAAATTGCTTAGTTTTGTAACAGTAAAAATGTCCTAAAGACAAAGTTGTAACAGCGACTTCCGTGAAATTTTTGTTTTCATCAAATCGCTAAATTTTCTAGAAGTGAAAATACAACTGTAATAAATTTCTACACATTGATGCAGCAGAAATTATACCTTGAAATCATGTTTATGAAAATCTAGATAAATTGTTAAAATTATATGACATGCATGTTTCTAATAATCAGCACTTTGTGATTTTTCTCTAAGATATGCAAAAACACTAAATAAACAGTAAATAAAAAATATGTGCAATGCAGAGCATTGTTCAGATAAACAATTTTGTTTACCGAGTATAACAATAAATACAATATAGGTGATTAGAAAGTGTTATGCGACGTGTAACTATGCTTTTTTTGGGAAAACACTAAATTCGATCAATGTAATACTGTAAATGACATCATGTGTCAGTACTGATATCTAACCAACTTGCGCTCATGAATACGAGAATTCCTGATTGACATGATCTGGATAATAACTCTATCCATTTAGGGGGATTCAATTTGCCAATAGACTGTTCTGTAAATCACATCAAGTGACACAGCATTTGTTTATTTTAAATGGGAGTTTCGCATTTTTCATATCATTATTTCGATATGTAATCGCCTGTCATAAAAAAAAGCCTGTCATTCAGGGATTGACCTAAATGACAAATGACTACACAACTAAGCGATAGTATGTGATAGATAGATCTATGTGATGAGTTTTTTTTTCGTCAAAGAAACATTTTGTTATATTGGTTAGGTGTATTCATGTGCTAAAAAAGGTACATCATGTTTTGACTGCTCAATGGTCTATAGGCCGGAATTAACCTTATAAAAAAGGTTATAAATATGTCATAAACTTTATGGTTTAGTTTTATAAATATGATAATTCTATTTGAAATTTACATTCCCACTGACCAATATATATGCCATCAAATGTTGAAATTATGGATGGGGAATTGGAAATTAACAGAATAAGAATTTAAGTGGGTGAATTTAGTTATACATTTGTATTTTTAATTATTAGACACTCACTTAGTTAGAAGACCTTGTCAGTTACATTGTAGGTATGTTTGTCCACATAATGTCTGGAGTTATGGTCAAAGGATATCTACTTTTATTATCATATTTTTTAGCAAAAACATCATTTTGACACATTTTTTATCTCCCAGCATGTTGCCATCTGTCCATGTGTACATACATGTACGTCCACACAATTTGATCAACATTTAGTAACCATATGTGGTCATTAAATATGTATAATCATTATATCTGGAGCATTATTTCAGATATAGACATTCAACCAATAATCAGTGCTTTATTGAACACATTGGGCACATATTTAATAACCATATATGGTAATATGACCTCATTAAATATGCATAACGATCATATCTGGAACACTTGCAGATCTGATCAACATATTTAATAACCATATATGGTAATATTACCTCATTAAACATGCACAACCATCATATCTGGAACACTTGCAGATCTGATCAACATATTTAATAACCATATATAGTAATATGACCTCATTAAATATGCATAACCATATCTGGAAAACTATTGCAGATCTGATCAACATATTTAATAACCATATATCGTAATATGACCTCATTAAATATGCATAACTATCATATCTAGAACACTTGCAGATCTGATTAACATATTTTTTTACCACATATGGTAATATGACCTCATTAAATATGCATAACTATCATATATGGAACACTTTTGCAGATATAGATGTTCAACCAGTACTTGTAATAAAGACGCTGAGGAATCTGCCATCTCTGATGGCTTTTTTGTTTTAGCTTCTTCTTAGAGTAAAATTTAACAGATGTTTTTAAAAAGTCAATTTGTACTACAATCACCTTATTAATTAAAGCACTAGAGTCATCTTGTTTGATATAGGACTCATAGTGACACGTACAATGCATGTAAAAATACATTGGAATTTGAACAGGTTCATGTCTTTATGAATTGGTTGGATCGGCACATTTGTTTTCGTGAATGACCTGTTTATGAACCAGTGTGGGTTTTGTGTATTTAAATTTCCATTAAACAAATTGTTTTACCTCACTTCATTCCTATTAAAGATGCACTTTTATTAACAGAGCAAATATGAGTCATGCACCTCAATTGAAGATGCAGTTATAACTGCAAATACAAATACAAATTGAGTTTAATGCATACTGGTATTGACTTTTAATCAGAAAAGTTGAAATTGGTCATACCTATTAACCCTTAACGCAGTAGTAAATAGTCAAAAATTGAGAAAAAAAACTTATTTGACCCAGATTCAAATGTGTTTCAATTCAAATTGTGCATGTCACATATTTTTGTCAGAAAAAAAATAATAAAAAAAGCAGAAAATTCAAGGAAGGAATTACAGTTACATGTTAATATGTGATTAAAAATTGATCACTAATGATATTACCTTCAGCAGTTAGGTGTTTAATTTATTTTAAATTATTTAGATCTGTGTGTCAGTCTTCTACTCTCAGTGACATTGGATCTACAAAACTAGGTGGTTGTAAATCAAGATAACCTTTTTGGGTGCAAGGGAGCCATTCATAAGTCAATGTTGTTTTGGTCTGTGGTCGTTTGTAAATACCAAATAATTGACATATGCATTATATTTTAATTGACGAAATAGCATTTCATCTCTAGAGTGTGCAACATAATTGAAATGTGTATTATGTTTTGTTTTGTTTTTCTGGACAAGCTAACTAAAACAATTTGTGATATTCATTTTTTCGATTTGTATTTTTGACATATCTTTTTTTCATTCCATGTGTGTTTTTAAATTAACTGAACATAATATGTTGTTAGTTGGTTTATTTATCATTTATTTATTTTGTTATAAGTTGGATATGCAGTTATTTTGGTCATATGTATTCAACATGTAAAATGTTTCTTTCTGCAGACGCTCACTTTGGAGAAAAGCTGCAGCAGTTTGACATCCGTGATGGCAGAGTATGAAGTGAGTGAGGGTGTTAATATTAACTCTGAGTTGCCTAAGGAGAGTGGTTCAAACCTGAGTACAGAAAATGATTTGAGTGTTACCACTAGAGATAGGCACCCTGTAACTGCCCGCATGTCGCCATTTAAACCTACTGTGCCCATAGGAAAAAATATAGACCATTTAGATGGTTCAGTCACCAGGAAACTTAATCTTGATGATGACCAGAGTATTAATAACAGCAGCACTTATGAAAATGGTTATTTTAACGATGTTACTGTGGAGAAAAGCATTGATGAAAAAACGAAAGAAGGTACCAGCAATGAACCGGAGGTGCCTGAGACTGTTCCAGAAATCTTGGTTCAAGATAGGGATGCTGATGCAACGGATACAGTAAGTAATTCTCCTGATCCAATTGATCAAGTGGCTGAACAGGATGATCAAGTTGCTGAACAGGAGGGTCAAGTAGCTGACACAGCCGGACAAACAACAACTCAAACTAATCATGTAGAAACTGAACTAACTAACCAAATTGGGCAAGATCAAGTAGATGGAGCTGATTCAAGTGGAGAAAACGACGCTGTTGTGAGTTTCCCAAAATTAGACCGTAAGAAGGACCACGCTGAAGTAAAACCTGATCAGGAGACGTGTGATCAGCAGAAGTTGGAGATAGAGGCAGTCGCTCCTAGAAAGTTGAGAGCTAGGAAGACAGGTGTACCATGCGGGTATGGTAGTCGGAAAATGAAGTATTTGACTTTGAAAGGTGGCAACAGAAGGTCTCTGACTGTTTCTGAATTGTTAGCCCAAAAAAGAAAAGCAGGATTAGAAAATGGCTTAGTTGTAAACGGTAGTCTTTCCGATGGTGATAAGCATCGTGTTTCCAAGTGGAGGAAGACCCAAGGTTCACTGCAAGAAGAAAATGAAAAGGTTGTCTTTGGTTTGAATTTGAGACCGAGAAAAAGACCAGAAACTGATACAGGTAAAAATAATAAATATTTAATTATTTTCAGGTTTTTACAAGAATAATAGTGCAAAAACAGTTAGGGTGTATTGGCCAATGTGTAGCTGAGGTCATGTACTGTCTGAGTGCATACTTTTATAGATCCTCATAATAATGTTATTACTGTAAAATCTGTATTAAAAGCCGCAGCTTCTAATAAAATGGTACAATGCAACAGAGGGGATGCGGCTTCTATTAGAGCATCTACACATATGAGAAATGGTGAATTTTTAGGTCTCAATTGTTCAAAAAGAATGGGTGCGGCTTCTAATACAGATTTAACGGTATACATTTTCTCGGTCCAACCACTTGATTTAGTATGCCCAGAACTGTGAACTCCAGTGATTCTTTTACACAAGGGAACAGGGGCACAGTGCCCTCATGCCATGGTCGTGCACCCCCTTACCCTGGGGAGCAGATCCTCTGGCAACCATAACATTCTGATTGACCAGCGATCATATGTGGCCACATTCTTCAACTGTGACCTGTCTACATATCGTGCGACTAGGTCTATTGTTTACAAATTATAATCCACAACTGGCAGGATGCCAGCCAGTAAATTTAATCTGACCAAAATGATGATCAAAGTCGTATTTGAGTATAACAACTTTCACCTATTGATTATTTTTAACATTAGCATCATAAATTTATTAAAAATTTGTGGATGATTTAATCAAGACCAGTAGGCATTACTGTAACAAATGATATCCATTTGGCTCCAAAGGAACCTCAATATATAAGAAAATGTTGCACCCACAAATAACAAAATTCATCAAAAACATGAAATAAATTGTGAATGTCAAATCTGCTGAAGACTGCCTCTCATTTCTTTTAAAGTCAAGACAGCAGCATGCTTTATAAATGAAAAACATTTTGTAATGGGAATAATTATTAATGAAGGAGTTTTATTTGGACAAATAAGTAAACATAAACTAACAGAGTGAATGTATTATAACTGTTATGGCATTAAAATAATATTGTATAGTTTTGGCTTCCACTTTTTTGGGATGCACAATTTATCAATGAAAGCCACAGCAGGGTTTGAGTTTAAACTGTTGTCATTGTTGTCTACGTTTATTAATAATTATAACCAACCTTATACAGATGAAACTTGTAACATAAATTCAGCTTTGATTGCGATTGTTGATTTTTGCAGATACGGATAGTGTTGTCAGTGGTAGCAGTAGTGTAAGCAATAGTAGAAGAAGGAGAAGAGGTGTGAAAGGTATCGAACCTGAAAGGGCTGGAGGAGCCATTCTTTCCCATCTACTTGATGGTTGTGGCCTTAATGATGGTATGTTTCAATAATAGCCATGTTTTGGGTTATCAAGTTCCTGATCTCCCAAGTACATTGTATTAGAAGATCACTGTACTATGAACTTCAAGATTATGCAAATGTATGTTTAGTTTAGTTTAGTTTAGTTTAGTTTAGTTTAGTTTAGTTTAGTTTAGTTTAGTTTAGTTTAGTTTAGTTTTGTTTTGTTTTGTTTAGCTTAGTTTAGCATAGTTTAGTTTCCATGCATGCATATCTGAGACATGCCTTGACGTCAAGTCTCATCAAACCTCACATTTAATTAATACCTTGTCTGATACATACACGCATAAGATGATTTTGTAACTGAGTAAAAGATGGCTGACTGGCGGCCATACGATTGTAAAAATATATTAAAATCAGGTATTTTTTCAAACATGGTGGAACTATAAACCATTATAGGGAGTTGCTGCATGATTTGATTTGATTTGAATTGTAAATTTGACTCAAGATGGCTGACTAGTGGCCATTTTGCTTTATATAAATGCTATTTCAGATGTATATCTCATGTATATAGATGCTTTTAGCAAATCACTTCAGCTTTTATACGTAAGACAATACTTCATCAAATACATGCACACGAACACTACTTTTGTCATCCGATCAAACTACTGGCCATTTTAGTTATAAAAAAACTTAAGGAAAGATTAACCATCATGGGAAGTTGAACAAATTTGGCTTCTGAAAACATATGTCATTAACATGGTGCATATTGCTGTCACAAATTTTGTATACTGTAAAATACTTTAGTTTTGCTTGAAATTAATTTTCACTGTTTTTGCTGAAGGAGTGATTCAGGCTGCATATTGGGTTGAAAAGACCTGTGTGTATGTCCGCATTTAATCAGTGGGGCTGTGGCTATGTCATATTTAGTCAGATCTTGTAATTGTAAGCTTCTTAGTTTCTTATGAAAGTTTATGAATCAAGGTGCTTTAATTAAATTTGTCTACTGTATGTATGAGACAATGAATCAAATACGGTACTATGACTTGCTCATTATATTTCATTATTTTTGTTCTATTCAGGTAAAACTAAAAAAGCTGTACCATCTGAAAGTGTTAATAAAGTTAAAGTAAGTATATCATACTGTGCTTATCTGAACCATAAACTGTATGCCATTTAAAAAATTTTAAAGTCTGTAAACATTGTGGAATTTTGTAATAGTGAAAAAAGTATCAGCAACTTTTGCGAAATTTTATCTTCATAAATAAATTTGCCTTCATTATAAAAGCAGAGAACAAACTGAATCGGAGGGTTAAAAACAGTCATTTATGACACGAGAAACATTTGAATTCGGTTTGAGCATTCGTTGGAAGTAAATTTTTTGTAAATTTTCACTTCGGAGTGTAGTTGGTAATCAAAAATTAAAGCCATAGGATGCAGGGGTATAAAATAAAACCTTTCAATTTGTCATAGTTGCTGTAATATTTCTCTTATAGCATGAACCGCCTCTTTGTAGTTGTAAAATGGCATTCGGTGTTCAATTTGAACCTGGCGTCATGCCTGTCTGTCGAGCAGTTGAGTACTTAGATGGCCAGGTGAGTTGGAAATAATTTAATATGCATTTTCATTTTGCAAATCACTAATGGGTCCTATATAGAACAGGATTAATTATTAAACCCTTTTCTAATTTCAGCTCAAACTTTGCGAAGCTGCCGTATCAGCGCTCAAACAAGTCCGGCCATCAACTCGTGTGAAATTTATGGTGCTTTGTAATGACCATCTTTCAAAAATGGCTCGACATCAGTGTTGTCCTGGGTGTGGTGTATTCTGTTCTTTGGTAGGTTGTCTTTATGATGCTTCACAGTAAAGATATTCATTGTATATCTCATTGCATATACCGTACTTGACCGCGTTAGCACCCAGGGGCCTCAACTCAGAAAATCTTGATTTTTTAGGGGTGGGCGCTTACCCGAGCACCCCCTTCGAAAAAGAGTGCAAATGAAAAATTTGATTCATCAAGTGACAGATTACGTCTTTGAGGGAAATCAAATTACGAAATTAGTTGAGTCGTCATTGATTTTTACAATGAAGAAACAGAATTGATCATAAAAAATATGCAAATTTTATTACAATATTAATTACATACCACCAGAATTTACGAAATTAAAAACATTTGAGTCTGTTGGAATACAGTCGAAGTCAAAATTGTCATATTATCTCCACTGACGAAGGTGTTGGATCGTACGCAAACTCTCGATGAAAATCACTTTCCGCCATGATGCATTTGCAGATTTCACCTGCAGCGGCGTCCTTTGACTTAATGGGTCAAGTTGGTTATTAACCAATCACAATGCTGTTTTGTACTGACGCCATTCTTCGAAAATTCCCGAAGACTTTCCGGTAACGCAATGCGGAAGTGAATTAACGATGTCGAAGTACGATCTGTTGGAATTGATTTCAGCGAATAAACGACATAGTTTTTCCAAAAAACTAGTAACTAGCCATTTTTGAGAGGTAAACTGTATATGGCATGAAATATTTACCGCATTTTACTTGTATTAACAGGTCATTGTCGAAGCGTAGTTTACACACGGTTACCGGGTTCTACGCATTCACAACATGTTCACAGCGGTCGATATCCACGCTGTATCATATAAAAACGATTACCAAGATTCGTTGCGCAAGACCAAGTTTTAAATTAGTTGCATTTTGAAGGGGTGGGTGCTTGCCCGGGCATGGGCGCTAACGCGGTCGAGTACGGTAATAGAAAACATTCTGGAAACTCTAAATTAAAACTACACGAAAGATGTTGTTTCACATTGGAATGTAAAACACAATAGCCTAGTCAAAACAACACTCACTCCTGACTCACAATCATAAAATCAATAATAAAGTACATACACACTAGTTTCATACAATGAATGTGATTATTAGTCCTAGTTCAGACGGCGTCCGAAAATGGGGACTTTTGCGTGTGTTCAGACCTATATCTTAGAACTATCTAGACCAATAACATTCAAACTTCAAACATACATAATATTATACATATGCACATCATTTTAATATGGTGCGTAGCTTATGGCAATGGACATAAAAAAAACAAAATGGCAACGAGAGCACACTTTAATACACTTGATGAGAAGAATCTGCCACAGTTAAATAAACAGACCTTGATGAAGATGTCTCTTGGATACTTGTAAACATTTATTTTATAGTTTCATGGATCTTGTAATATATAGTGTTACCTCCATCTTCTGACAAGCAGTGCAGGATTTACATTCTATCACTACCATGGTGGTTATTACATTAAAGTCAGTCAGTAAATCAGTAAATTGTTACACAGGGAAGATGCAGTATCAATGAAACATGTATTTTTTTAATATTGTTTTTTGATACTGCATGCTGACAACCAAATTGGATTATAGTTTGTCACAAACCACAAATGTTACTTTTGCAGGACACACAACAGTGTTCATTAGATGCAAAATCACACTACTCATTACATATGCAGTGATTGTTGTACACACCAAAACAATTGAAGCCCTTGCAGAATTTCATTGGTTCGTCTAACAAATACTCGGACTTGTGGTTAATACAAGAATGTTTTTAGTTCCAGATAAGTCATAGTCCAATGTATTTATAAATACACAGTATCAAACAACAATATTAGATCGTCTCAGCCATATTTCAGCTTCAATTTTGAGTGGAAATAATGATATTATGTTTAAATAATTTTGTTTGAACACAGGGTTCTTTTACTATCTGCACTGGGGAAGATTCAGTACACCACCACTTCCACAGGAAATGTATTAGTGAAACTGACGGTACATTATACTGCCCACACTGTGGTGATGACGCCCGTAATGCCAAGGATGTTCGAGTGGTGCCACAGGTTATTTCCGTATCAACATTACCAGATGCAGTCCCAGCTACTTCATTACCCCTGACACCAGGCTCTGCTAGGTTGTCCACACCAATTGTTGCCCCAGGCTTGGTAGGAAATGATTCCATGCTTGCTTCCAATGTGGATCCAAATGCTACAAAACCTGTTGGTAAACGGAAAAGGTTTGTTTGTGTACAGGATTTCTAAAAAAAATTCTCTCTATTCCAAGCTGTTGTACTAGTATTTAATTTATTTCTGCTGACTGCCTGTTAATTAAACCTTCACCAAACACTTACTGATCAAACCTCCATTAAATGTCTACTAGTAATGAATTCATGTCATACCAATGTCAATAATTGATTTGATTTTATTTCACCAATAATTCACCAGCTGTTCAAAGAAACATTTTATTATACATACACTGTACTTTCTCTTTAACAGTAACAATTCCATAAGCTTTAGTCAGCATTTATCACCACCTTGTAGTATGAAGAGAGAGGACTCAGCAGTTAGTCTCTTAGCCAGCTCAGAAACAAAGGCAGATGAAGAACTATCTCAGACTCCTAAAGATAGGTCAGAAATGAACACAGTCTTAGCCTCATCTTGGAAATGTGAGACAGGAAATTGGCTTACAGTTGTCAAAAAGAAAACAGCAAAGAGTCTAAGACTGGCTAGAAGTTTGGCAGCAACACAAGGCAAGCTGCGAGCTGGGAAACATAGGAAAAGGAAACACTTAGCCAGAGGCCACAAAACTATGGCACAGATTAGGGACAAGTTGTTAGCTTTTAGATATAAAACACAAACAAATGATAGAAGGAAAACAAAGACAGTTAATAGTACCAAGGCTCAGGAAAACTTGTCTAAGAAAGAAATAGGTGGAGTTGCATTGAATAACTCATCTAAGAAAGATGCTGGAAGAGTCTTGTTTAATAGCTTAGTCTGCAATCAGTATGTTCCAAGTCAGTATATCGGACGACCAGTAGTTCAAAGTGGTTATAAGCATGTCAGGTAATCTATTCCATTCTATGTAGAATTTCCCAAGTGTTAGATATGCTTCCTTGTTTATAGGTGGAGAAAACATTGGATAGTTTTTGTTGTCCCACTTCCTATCAGCAGTTTTATTGGTCTTTGCACACAATTTCTGACATCGTCTAACAATCTCTAAAGAAGTCAAAACCTGATTTGTTTTGTAGCTTAACCATTTGAGTGTCTTTTGCTTTTCAAAACTTTAAATTAAGGCCTGTAGTCTATGGGAAATCATTCTATTCGGTCCAAAATAAGCTAAACTATGGAAAAACCCAAAATGTTGCACTAAAACTTTGGCAGCAATTGTAAATACCAAATTTTTGACTTGTTGGTGTTAAGTGAGATTAAATGCTATCACAAATTAAGATTCTGAATTAACTTTCACGAATTGAGTAGTATTTTTCAATTATTCCTCACTAAAGGGGCTGAAAAATGAAAATTATAACAAATTTAATATTCTAGTTATACTAACAAAAGATGCTCTATCCTTTAACCTTTTGAGCCAAATTGTTTTATAAATTCACATACTTTTTGACATTTTTTCAAAAAATTTGACCAAGACCTGTAGCCAGTGGGGAAATGATGACCAAAGTTAACAAAGATTTATCAAAAAAAATACATATAATTTTGGCGACAACAAATTTGAAGGGTTAAATCTCATCTGTTTTCACAGCTTAAATAAATGTTATATTAGATGTACACTACTGAATGGATCTACAGTTATTAGGTTGATTATAGATTATTTTGTGTTATAATTTTTCAATCAATCATGTTCAAAAGCATTTATTCTAATAGAAGCAGACTATAGGCATTTTACAGCAAGTCTCAGAAGTATTTGGGCAGCCAATTTGCAAACTCGCTAGCGAATTGGTTAACTGCTTAGGTTTTGGCTAAACAGTTGGCTTTCGAATCTCGCTGGCGCCGTATTGTCAACACACCCACTTACGGCGAATCTATATAACAGTAGGGGACGATTGTCATACTTGAAGAACTAATCAGCGACGGTTTTACAGTTGGGTGGCGATTTCGCTTTCAAATATACCATGG